TTGTTACCCAGGCTGGAGTGCAATGGCTCTATCTCGGCTCACCGCAGCCTCCACCTCCTGGGTTCAGGCAATTCTCCTGCCTCAGCCTCCCGAGTAGCTGGGACTACAGGCGCGCGCCGCCATGCCCAGCTAATTTTTGTATTTTTAGTAGAGACGAGGTTTCACCATGTTGACCAGGATGGTCTCGATCTGTTGACCTCATGATCCACCCGCCTCGGCCTCCCAAAGCGCTGGGATCATAGGCGTGAGCCTCCGCGCCCGGCCCACAGCGGATTCTTAAGCACGTTCTCCATGTATGCTTGCTAGCTGGTTATCTTTTGGTATAATTGTTACACGTTTAACATGGATAGCACATAGGTTGGTGACTTCAAAAAGACCAACCAGACAGGCCTCCCTTGCCTCCCGCAAAGTACCGATAGCTGTGCTCTGGAAGCACAGATCTGTTTTAAAGTCCTGAGCAATTTCTCTCAGCAGACTTGGGAAGGGAAGTTTGCTAATTAGAAGTTCAGCGGACTTCTGATAACGTCTGACTTCACGGAGTGCCACAGTACAAGGCCTGTAACGATGAGGTTTCTTCACCCCTACAGTAGAGGGCGCAGTCTTGCGAGCAGCTTTTGTAGCCAGTTGCCTCCTGGGTGCTTTACCACCGGTCGATTTGCAGGCAGTCGCCTTTGTAGGAGCCATGCTATAGCGATCTCCTTACTTACCCCGCTTCCTTCCGCTGGAGCTCCGCCAGTGAGAGGCGGCGCTGGCATTGGAGAGCATCGGTGGCGGCTGAGAACACAGCTCGATAATTTCTTAATAGTTAAGAGGTCAGGGGCGGGCTCAGAGCAGGAGGCCTGAGGAATGGCTCCTCTGTTGACAACATACCCAACAAGAATCTGGGATCATTGTGACCAGAGGTAGGTACCAAAACTTGTGGCCTTCCTATGAACAAATGCCCTACATGTGAAGGGAAAGAGTAATAATAAAATAATAATAAATTCATTAGATAATGTGACAGTTTTAAGTTGTATGCATCTAACAACAGAGCTCCAAAATGCATGGAAGCAAAAACTAACAGAGTTGAGACACAGACAAAACTACCACAATTAGATTTTTCAACACCTCAGTCGTTGATAGATCAAGTAGAGAGAAAATCAGTAAGGATTTAGAAAACTTGAATAACACTATAAAACACCTTGACCTAATTGACATTTATAGACATTTCATCCAACAACAGAATATATATACTTTTCAAGTCCCCTCGGAACATTTACCAAGATAACCTGTATTTCGAGTCGTAAAACAAGTCTGGATAAAAGACTGAAATTCCAAACTGTTCTCTAATACTAACAGAATTAATTTAGAAATCAAGAACAGAAAGATATCTGGAAATTATCTAAAAACACCATTTATAATAGCATAAAAACATTGAACACTTAGCGATAAATTTGGAAAAAGATGTCAAATTAAAGAAGATCCAAGTAAATAGAAAGATAAGCCATTTGCATGGTTTGCCAGACTCAATATTGTAACATGTCAATTCCTCCACACATTGATTTAGTCATGCAGTACCATTCCAATCAAAATCTCGGTAAATTTTCTTGTAAAAATTGACAAGCTGATTCTAAATGTATGTGGAGATTTTTTAAAAGGCCAAATAATTTTTTAAATGAATAAATTTGGAAAAATAATACCTAATTTCATTACCAATTATAAATCTGTAGAAACTAAGACAATATTGTTTTGACATAAAAATAAGCATTTAGATCAATGAAACCAAAAAAGAGTCCAGAAATAGACTAACACATATATAGTCAATTAGTTGTTGTTGTTGTTGTTTTTTGAGATGGGGTCTCACTCTATCATCCAGGCCAGAGTGCAGTGGTATGATCTCCGCTCACTGCAACCTCCACCTCCCTGGCTCAAGTGATCCTCCCCCATCAGCCTACCAAGTAGCTGGCATGCAGGTACCCACCACCATGCCCAACTAATTGTTTGAATTTTTGGTACAGACAGGGTTTCACCATGTTGCCCAGGCTAATCTCAAACTCCTGAGCTCAAAGATCCTTTTACCTCAGCCTCCCAAAGTGCTGAGATTACAGGCATGAGTCACCACACCCAGCCATAAATTGATATTTGACAAAGGTCCAAAGACAATAAATGGGGAATGAATAATCTTTTCAATAAAGGGTTTGAACAATTGAATAGCAGGCAATTGTTTTTTTTAAATTAAGAGAAAAAACCTCTTAAAGCATATACAAAAATTAACTCAAAATGGATTATAGGCTTAAACGAAAACTATGAAACTCAGATGTTTGTTGCCAAGGAGACTCAGCTCTCTCCACAGGGCTGCTTGAGTGTCCTCACATCATAGCAGCTGGCTTTAGTGACCCAACAGAGACAGCAAAAAGAAAGGTGCAATGCCTTGAATGACCTCACTTTGAAAGTGACACACTGTCACATCTGCCATATTCTATTTGTTAGAAAAGCCACTTAATCCAGATTTCTCTCTAATGGGGAGAAATTAAGCTCTACATCTTGAAGAAGATACTTGGAAGAGTATCAAGGAATTTGTGGATATATTTTTAAACCACCCTCTGGGCATAAATTATTTGCAATTCTCTTTGAAGACAAAATATATTCCCCACTTTCCTAACGGCCACAAAAGCCTCTTCTTATTTCAGTATCAGTTCAAAATCCAAAGTCACAGCATATAAATCAGATACAGGTGCAGACAATGCTTTTCAGGTGTATTTTTTTTAAAGACAGTGTCTCTCAATCTGAACCCCTGTGAACTGGAGCTAAATTATCTTCCCCAACATATACACACACTCACACACGCCACACAATGGTGGGATGGGCATAAGATAAACACTATAAACATTCCTGTGCAAAAGGGGGGAAAATAGGACTGGTCCATAGTGGTTCTGAGACCCAGCTAGGCAAAGTTTGGAGATTCTTTTACTAGAATTCATTCCTACATATCTCTATCACTCTTGGCCCCTACCTTGGAGCTCTTGGTTCTGCAAAGTCATCATCTTTCTTTTTCCATGAGAGATAACTCATGTTTTTCAGCTATAGAGTTTTCTCAGTCTGAACTTTGGGAATTCAAAGGCCTCTACATTCATGTACTGTCTTTGTCCCTTTCATTCCAAGCTGTTTCTGGCAATATGATTCTAAAATGCTGTCGGCCTTCTGTGAGTCTTACTGTGGTTCATTCCATAAGTCAGATCAAAGGAGCAAGATCTAATATCAAGGATATAATGTTTTCTAGAGCCAGGGTAGCCAAAACAGCATGAAAAGAGACATACTCATGTTATACTGATATCACTGTTAGTATTGAGAATCTGACGTGATGGTACAATCTGCAAATTTCAAATGTAATTTTAGGTTAAAAGGGAGAGATACATACAAAAATTGCAACAATCTGACTTGAATTTTTTTTATTTCCAAACTTTCTTCTAAATTTTATTCAGGCTGGGTGCGATGTCTCATGCCTATAATCCCAGCACTTTGGGAGGCTGAGGTAGGCAGATCACTTGAGGTCAGAAATTCAAAACCAGCCTGGCCAACATGGTGAAACTCTGTCTCTACTAAAAATACAAAAATTAGCCAGGCAAGGAGGCACACACCTGTAATCCCAGCTACTTGGGAAGCTGAGGCAGGAGAATTGCTTGAACCCAGGGGGTAGAGTTTGCAGTGAGCTGAGATTGTGCCATTGTACTCCAGCCTGGGCAACAGAGTGAAACTCCATCTCCAAAAAATAAATAAATAAATGAATTGAATAAAATATAAATAAATATATTTCAAAACATCAAACTATTTCTGTGTCATGACTATTCTGGTTCATTGGCCTCATCCTGAGTCTAGATAAATTATTTTTAAACATATAATCAAAGCTGTGAAGAACTTCTTTTTCCTTTAAAATGTCAAGAAAACTCTTGATAATTCACAAGTTCATATACTCACAAATTCTCTGTTACTGCTGCCTTCAAGAAGAAAGAGAACCATTGGTCCACTTTGGAGACTTTCTCTTCCCAGCTGCACCCTGATATCACCAATATAGTTCTCCTTTCTACTATCTAGTCTTCCTGGTGATCTTCTAGATTATACTCTCAAGCTTCATAACCATTTTTTTTGTAATCCAATGTGTTCATCTCTTCTACCTCCACGCTAAAGAGGAAACATCTACGGGTGTGATCTGAGGGAAGAGTCCCTCCTCCATCCCCAAAACGAGTATTAGTCCCCAAGCTCCAACATCAACTACTAGTCCAGGGAGCAGAAATCCCTTCTGTCTCTGAATGAAGACTTTTATCAGGATATAATTATCCATTTACACCTAACCTTTCTAAAACAGGGATATCTATGTGTCTCTTCTGCTTAAAAATGGGAACTTAAATGCCCCTCTCCCCTGATACAAAGCCTATGGAAAGCCTTCAGAAATTTGTGAATTCGTGATATTTTATTATAGGTGCATTATTTTGGAGAACAAGGCTGTGGCTATCAATGGATCCCCAAAGCAATGTTACCACAAAATGAGAAGAAACACCAGCCTCCAGGAAAAAGGCCTGACTCAGTAAGAGTAAGAGATTCATCACAATTTGGCTCCACTGTCTCTCACCATCCACTCTCTCCTCCATATCTCTGTTGTTTGTTTGTTTTAGGGGATTACAGGCGTGTGCCACTGCGCTCCTAATTTCTATATTTTTAGTAGAGATGGGGTTTTGCCATGTTGGCCAGGCTGGTCTCGAACTCTTGGAGTCAAGTAATCTGCCATCTCTGGCCTCCCTCTCCTCTATATCTAATGTTGTAGCTACAACTTGTCTTCTTTTCTTATGCTATCTGTACATTCATACTTCCTTGCTTTTGCTTCTGCCTTTCTCTGCCTAGAATACGCTTCCCCCTTCTTTTTTATCTTTTATTTTTTTTTTGAGACAGAGTCTCATTCTCTTTCACAGTGAGAGAACGAGTGATCTTGGCTCACTGCAACCTCTGCCTCCTGGCCTCAAGTGATTCTCCTGCATCAGCCTCCCAAGTAGCTGTAGAACATCTTTCCCTTTTTTGTTTTCCAGGAAAAGTACTATGTATGCTTTGGGACCCAGATCAAATGTTGTATCCTGGTAGAATCAATGATCTAAGCTCCAATACACTTTGTATATATGTCCAGCATAGTTGTAATTAATTCTTCACTCATCTGATTAACGCTGAACTAAAATGATCTCAGAGTAAGAATGGTTCTTATTTAATTCGTATCTCCAAGGCCTAGCACAGATCATAGTAGGCACTACTGGTTGTTGGGCGGGTGGATAGGTGTCATTATGGACCATTGCCCAGCAGAACAGGAACATGTCTCCCTCTGAGCATGCCTCCTTAGACCCCCTACTAACCCAGGACCATTTCTGCTCAGCCTGATGCCTTGCTCTTTGGGCTCTGTAGCGAGCTTTGTATTTTCAGATTTCACTGACCAATAACTCAAAATGAATTTTGGAGACCAACATTGCCAATTTAAAATGTTTCCAAGAAAATATTTTTTTAAAACCTATCACGGGCTGGGCACAATGGCTCATGCCTGTAATCCCAACACTTTGGGAAGCTGAGCCAGGCGGATTGCCTGAGGTCAGGAGTTTGAGACCAGCTTGGCCAGCATAGTGAAACCCCATCCCTACTAAAAATACAAAAATGAGTTGGGCATGGTGACACATGCTTGTAATCCCAGCTACTCAGGAAACTAGGGCAGGAGAATTGCTTGAACCCAGGAGGCAGAGGCTGCAGTGGGCCGACAGCAAGACTCCATCTAAAACAAACAAAAATACAAAAAAAATCCACAAAACCCAAAAAGCAACACACACACACACACACACACACACACACACACACACACACACACAGAACCTCTCACCTACCTTCTCCATAGTTTTATAAAAGTCACTTTAATACCTCAAAAATAAGAAGGGCATTGTCTCAG